AACTTCTAACACTTCTTAAAACCTATGGACACAGTGACAGTGCACATTTCTAGTTCTCTTCTAGTCTCTTTATCACCTCCTTTCAACAGTTCTTTTTCTTCTTTCCAGCCTCCTATCATAGGTGCCAATGGTCTGCTGCAGGAGTTTGCAGACCTTGCTCACTCCTTCAATGAGTTCCTCATTATAATTTGACTCTACCCTCTATTGCAGTGATGCAACCACATTCGGGTCCAAATACACAACTGCCTAAGGAATAGATTCATCTGTATATTCCACTGTCGCCTCACTCTTGGGAGTAGTATGTGGAAATATGTGGGCATAAGAGTCAGGAGACAAGTTCCTGTTCCAGTTCTACCACTACCAACCTGTGTGATTCGGGGTGTGTCTAGTCCTCAGTCTCAACAGTAAAACTGAATCAAGTCAAGACTTAACCTCTAGCAACCCTTCCAAGTACTAAAATTTTACAAGTCTACATTTAGTGTCAAAATGAACCTTCAGTTACTCCACCTCTCAAGTCCCACCTTTCAGCCTCCACATCCATCCTGACTCTTATCTTCCTACATACAATATACCACCAAATCTATCATTTCCTCTCTTTCCATGACTTAAGCTCCTATTTTGGCAAAGGTTACTATTCTAGTGAGGCAATTTAAGAGAAAGGTGTTCCTAACAATCAGTAAAAACCAGGATTCTGGACCCAGTTTTGCACTAACAGCATGAGTAAACCATTTTACTTACTTCTCTGTGTCTCAGTTTCCTCTACAAACTCAGGCAGTTAAGTGAAAATATTTTCTAGCTCTAAAATGCAATGACTCTTAAATAGAAAATTACCTGGATATCTAAATTGGCCAAACTTACAGGTAACCTATTCACTCTCTTAATTTAAATTATATAGTCCTAGCCAAAGAACAGATCAAAATTTATGACAATAACATTTAATCAACTTGCTCAGTAAAGACCCACACAAATGGTTTTGGGGTTTGGGGTTTTGTTTTGGGGGGCTTTTTTTGCACAGGGGGGAAGAGTTCCTCCTAATTGCAGTGAAATTACTCTCACTTCTCAGGAACCTTAAAATTCTGGGGAGTTAACCTCTAGAGATGGTACTAAAGTGGCAACCTTATATGCCTTCTCCCTTTAGCAAAGTAATTATTTTCCACGTTCCAGATATGCACTCTGAGACAAGAGTAATGCTCACTTATTTGAAGTTAATGTTCACTTATATAAGGAATTAATGCTACATTACATTCATGTATATTAGTAACACATTTTTATACACATACAAAGATATGCCCTGACCATAGTCACATCTGTCATCCACATACATGTAAGTGAACTTAAAACCTATGTTTAAAAAAAAAAGGGCAAGTGGTAGAAATACTGTGTCATACTGCCAATTCTGATGATTGCTATAAATACCTCATGGCAATACTGTATCAGCCATCATTTCAAGTATGTAGAAAATGTTCAAAATATTTGGATAACTAAAAAGTACCCTAACAGTTTATGTGGAAGGTACAACATCTTTTCTAATTACTTTTAAAATACTGGCTTACTTTTGGTACAACACACCTTAATCTAGACTAGCCAATAGGTTTAAATATGCCTGGTCAAATATCTCTGTAACACTTGCGTTCAATAGAATAGCTTTGCATTAAAATGACAAAGACTAACAGGAGAAATTAATGTTTTTTAAGTAGCTGCATAGTTTCTCAAATAAGTAGATGAGACTACTTAATCATAATTGGCTCTTTGAGTTCTATGGAAAATAAGTTCTAAGAAATAAGTTATATGGGGAAAAAACTGTAACTGTTTCTCCAGTACTTGAGAAGACTATCTGAACAGTGATGCATTCAATGAAACTAGGTAATGGAAGCAGTTACAACTGCTATTTCAGACAAATTCATACAGAATTTAATCAATCTGACAGAGCTGACGAGGGTTTCTCAACCTCAGCACTACTGATATTTAGGGCTGGACAGCTCTTTGTCGTGGGGAGCTATCTGATTCAATGAAGAATATTTAGCAGCCTGGCCTCTACCCACTAGATGCCAGTAGCACTCTCCCAAGACTGCAAGACCAAAGATGTCTCTAGGTATCGCTACAAGTCCCACCAGAGAAAAATCACTCTGAGTTAAGAACTACTGGGGTAGAGCCAGCCTCAGTGTTCATCTTTATTGTCCAGAGTTCTGAAAAGCAAATTAAATAGTTATGGAAACATTTCACTGAGTGCATGACTCAGGGTAAAGTTATGACCTGAGTTTTCCACTCTCCTTTTGAAATACCACATTCTCTACAGGGCAAGAGCAACACACCCAAAAACAGAAGCGGACCATTTTTTTGCCTTGTTCTTACTGGCAGGCCTTAAAGTTCCCAATTTACAGACCAGGCCAGAGAAAACACATCATATGCAAGGGTTACACTAAACCCTCAGACAACTCTAACTGCTGGGTGTGGCTCCTTTTTGGTGATGGTGGAGAGGGAGTGCTTTTATATACTCTATTTTGTCTTAACGAGGTAAATATACTGGTAGATATATGTATTTCTAAGGTGGTTTCTGTGAAAATACTACTTAAACCCAACTAAAAAGAATATTGGGAAAAACTTACATTCTAATTTAAAAAGGGGAAGCTTTTTTTCAATCCATCTATTGTAGAAAATCTTTTTACTCTAATACAGAAAGCTGAACAAAACCACTTTTTTTGTCAATTAAGAATTTTGCAGTGCTTCGTGGACTTAGGAAGTTCAATCATGACTAAACAGTATTGAAGATTCAGAAATGCAGATTGCAGGCTGAATTTTCAAATTCAGCCAGGCTACACTACAGGAAAAAACAAACCAATGAATTCAATATTCATCTTATTTGACTCTTCCCTGAAATTGAGACCATCACCAAAATCGAGATGGCTATCTGAAGGTTTTAATTATCTATGTTCCAATTGGAGAAGGCTTTAATAGGAAATATTTGACTTGATTCCTTATCATTTCAAAGCATAAAGAGTTCATCTACTCCTTCGCTCATTTGACTACTGTATCAGTACACCTATTTCCTAATTTGTAATATACTTTAGCTGTGAAATATATCTAACATGTTCAAACAAAGTACATGCCAAAGAAAGCATATTTTTAAGAAATTTGCACAAGAGCATCAACTTCTCAATACAAATAGATATTACAAATTATACTTCCTATAAAGTAATAATCTGAGGTAAGCAACCACCTACAAGGAAATTTAATGACATATTAGTATGACAAAAGAATTACTTGGGTTTTGTTTTTTATTTTTTTTAACTGTTGCTCAATTCTCATTGAATCAAATAGGAATCTGTGAGTGAATTTTGGCAGGTTTTAAAAACCCCGTGGTTATTTTCTGCAACATCTTTCTATATTGGGGTAAGGATTTAATAATGTATATAACTGTTGAATTACTGTTATATACTTGAAACCAATATAGTAGATCAACTATACTTCAATTTAAAAAAAAACAAAAAGTCTAGTAGACACTAACTAGAACAACCCAAGTATTTTTCCTCCCAAGGAAAATTATATTTACAGCATGCAAAATCGCATTATTTAAAATTAGAAAATGAGGATTTAACAAATACTGAAAAATTCCTCATAAATACAGGGTGCATAATACTTTTACTTGATGGAGATAAAAGAATATTAAAATATGACTTGAGAGCAAAAGCAAATAAAAATAAAAAGCCTATTCTAAACAAGTACTACTTAGCAAAAACCAAGAAAATTATGCTAGTACACATCATCACATTTACCCTCTGTTGGTATTTTTCTTAATGTCATGATTACTCCAATGGAATAGTAACGGTGGCTAACAATGTGCTGTACTAGTGTAATGTTTCACTATGTACAGGTCCTCTTCAAGTGTTTCTTCCTTCACAGGTGTTAAAGCAGCAGTAGGGATTTTAGACTACAAGCTAGTTTGTCAGGCTGAAAAAAAGCATCAACTTGAATTTCATCTCTCTGCAACGCTGAATACTCGATGTGGATTAAAAATGCATAGGTTTCGTGCCTCCAAAAGCAAGCCAAAATGTGAAATTACGTTTTTGGTCCATTAGTTCTTTTCTCCTTTTCGGAAAACATTCTATCCAACTTGAAGGACTGGGGGTTATTTATTAAAAGATCCTTCAGACAATGTTTTCTTTTTTTGCCTTTATATTTCGCAAGTGAAACTTCTGGCAATTTCAACAGCACACACATTCAAGAATAGAGCCTGGTAAAATGACAGATTAAGTCGTGTCCAGAAATTTATGGTGATTCCCTTTATTTGGTTTTTATTTAATACTTCTATTTTTTTCGTCTTCTGGAGCGCAAAAGAACATAGTGTACCAAAGTTACTAAAAGAACTTCCTAAAAACCAACTTGAGGCACATTCTTTTATCTACTTTATGGAGACAGTGTGGGTTCAAAATCAACTTCCCTCAAGGTCGTTAGGATAAAAATAAAGCTTCCAACTCTTAAGACACTTCGCAGACCTACAGCGCTTTTTAAAAGGCTTTGCAATAAAGCACCTCCGCTCTCGCTTCCTCGGCCTGTAAGCGCGCCCGGAGCCCAAGGCCCAAGGTTTCCTGCCCGCCGGACTGCTACCGCCCGGGCGGGGAGGGGCAGCAGCAGGGAGCGCTCGGCACTGCCCAGGGCGGGGGCCGCGGGGCCGAGCCCTCTGGACACTGCCCCCCGGACCACCGGCCCTCGGGGCCGCCCCCGGGGCGCGCGGAAGCGACAGATGGGCAGCGGCAGCACGGGGAACCAGCAGCGGCCTTACCCCGCAGAGCCCGACCCCCGAAGGTGGCCGCTACCAGCCAGGGGCACAGAAAGGCGCCGCCTGCGCCCGGCCCCGAATTCGCTGGCCGTTGGACACCGGCGAGGGGCGCGCGGTCCCAGGGACGGAACCAGGAGGGGCAACGGCGCGAGCGGTTTCCTCGGCACTATAGCGGGTAAGGAGGCGGGGGTACACGGAGCCCGGAGGAAATTGGGCGCCTCACCTGCTCCTCCCAAGGCAGCCGCTACCGCTCGCTGAGGGGACAACATGGAGCCTCCGCCTTCAGCAGGAGCAGCAGGGGCTCAGAGAGGGAGGGCTGGGGCGGGAACGATCCAGGCCCTGGAGGCGGGAACGGGCGGGGCCTGGGATCTAGAAGAAACTGGGAAAAGGAGGGGCACGGGGGAGCCTCGAGGGAGCAAGCACAGAGCGAGCCGGCGAAGCCCGACGAGCTGCCAAAGACGCACCGAGCGCAGGGCGGGCCGGAGCGGGAAAGCGCACGCGGCCGAATCCCGCCACGACCGGACGCGTGTGCGCGTGCGCGGAAGCGCGACGTGCGCCGCTGGCTTCCTGGGGCTGCGCACTGATGACACCGGCCCGTTGGGAATTGTAGTCCCACGCTCTCTGAGTCCTCGCCAGCGGTCCCCATTCTGCGCACTCATCAGGAGCGGGGAGGAAGCGGAAGAGAATGACGGGCGTTGCTGCGGCTCTTCGACGACTGGACTACGACTCCCAGCAGGTCGTGCGGGGACAGGCGGTGCTTGGGCCACCCCGCGCGCCCCGCGGGGCTCCTAACCTTGAGACCAAGGTAGTTGCGGAAGCCTTGGGATGACTGGCTTCAAACTCCTACCAGCCGCGTTGGGGACGGCTTTGGTGTTTAACGCTGGCCGAGACCATAGGTAGGCAACCCTCTACCCTAAGGACCGAAGAGAGGCCTCAACCGTGGACGTCGTGAACGTCACTGGTTTTTAACGATTTTGACTTCATAAAAAGAAGAGGTCGTTGACTTCATTATACTGCCGTCATCGGCTGCACCCCATTCCCTTCCCTGGCCAAGCCGTCATCACTCTAAGGGCTAATGTAAGAACTTACAGTGAAACCCCTCCTGTCGGCTTTGTGTAGCCTAAACCATAGCCGTCTTTTAAACCTCAGGTTTACAGGAGCTTGTTTTGAAGTTGTTGCTTTTGCAAGCACACTTACTTAAACTAGGAAGATCAATACAAAACAGGGTTCTCCGAAATGCTTTTATTCACACTTTACATGTGATTGGGAAAATGTCAGTTGCCACAATTAAAATAGTTATTTTGGATTTATTGGGGATAGGGGTGGTTGTCTTGGGGGTAGGAGTTGGTGGATCCTATGTGAGGCTAAAGCATCCATAACACCACTGTCACCACCTCTTGGCATCACCGTTCCTCATTCGTACAACAGATCACTCCACTTTTTTCTGCCTTTGCCTCAAATGTTATAACCAACCCAGAACCTCGTTCCAGCTACCTCTAGGTCCTGCCAAGCCCTTGAGCTATTTTTTACTTACTAAATGATTAGGCCAGAGGTTAAGAGGTAAAGGTAATCCTACCTAAACAAGTCCTGTTTTGATTTCTTTTCCCCTGCCCCTTCTGATTTCTTCCCAAACTCTCAAGATTATTTGAATATCCTTCTCCAAGCTTTAGATTTAAGAGTATAGATTATTCAACCATTGTGGAAAGCAATATGGAGGTTCCTCAAAAAGCTCAGGATAGAAATACCATTTGACCCAGTAATTCCACTTCTAGGAATTTACCCTAAGAATACAGCAGCCCAGTTTGAAAAAGACAGATGCACCCCTATGTTTATAGCAGCACTATTTACAATAGCCAAGACATGGAAGCAACCTAGGTGTCCATCAGTAGATGAATGGATAAAGAAGATGTGGTCCATATACACAATGGAATATTGTTCAGCCATAAGAAGAAAACAAATCCTACCATTTGCAACAACATGGATGGAGCTAGAGGGTATTACGCTCAATGAAATAAGCCAGG